CCTGATATGCATGCGGTAGAGTCCAAGCAGTGAGTCCAGCAGGTCGACTTCACCCATATGTGTGCTGTAAACCGTTAATACGCTAGGGCAATCATTTTAATCAAACTCCTTGGCTAAGGTAAACCAGCGCTTAGTCTTTTTGGACTGAACCCCTCCCAACAAAGCTCGACAGAAATGTCACGGCGCATTTATCGTACCAACGCACACACGATAATTTCATATCATCTATCACGGTTGTGAGTTCCTCTGAAGCACCACATCTTTTACCTTTCAGTTCCTTTTCACTTTTTAGGCAGCAGTTTGGCAGACGATTCCCCCTCACCATTCTGAGCTACAAAATTCCATCTTGCGATAGTGACCTGTGATAAAGTGGATGCATTCATTGCACTGCCGTGCTACACCTTCACCGCGTAACACCTATATCCCCTCCCGTGCAATTTCCTACTATCTGGAATATGGTAAATGCTAGTTTGTAGTGCCGAGCTGCAGTCACGGAGAAAATTGAATAACCGAAGCTCGAAGGCATCGCATTACATATATTTGTCTTGCGTTTTACTGGAGAGATGGTACCACGGTACCAATTTTGTCTTTCAAGTTCATAGTGTGCCAAATTTGGCACACACTAATTTCAGGTTCTTTGGTGTAGTTGCAATAGAACTTCCGAAAACTAATAATAGGCTTGAATTTGTGAGGTCATAAAGCAAGCCAAAATATATATTGTATGCTAATCAGGAGAAAACGTTTATAGAAAAAAAGGACGATTTCTCGTGCTCGCCCCTTCCGAGTTGCACGTTGCATCCCAAAATTCACTTGCCTCTGTTTTCCTTATTGCTCAACAGATATAGTATTACTTGCCCATCACAAATGCACAAAACTATGAGAATTACTCCGACAGTATCATATTTTCAAGTGGGCAGCCCACACCCACAAAAAATGAGTAAGTGGTATGTGCCAAATATGGGATGCCATGCAATAGAGGGCTAATGACAACTAACAAAGATGTTGTGTTTTCATTATTATTGTGTCTTAGAAATAAAATGAGCCTTTCAATTTACACTTCTGTGTTACATTGCTTAATGGTGTAATGTTTTATGTAATGTAATGTTTTATGTTTATGTAATGTTTTATGTAATGGTTTAATGGTGTAAATGTTTTAGGTTGTTTAACAAGCGTTGAAAGCTGACCAAGTTTGTATAGGTTCGTCTTGAGGCATATAGGTTCTCCAACTGAGTTCCACGAAACCCAAGGATTCTGTGAAGTACCCCGTAGGGTCCCATGAATAGACAAAACGAGTCTAACCCGCTCACATATTAGCCTTATAGTAATTTAGCCCCACTAGCAACTAATTAGTCATCTTGGACAAAAAAATTTGCATTTTATTTAACACCAGAGCGTCGCATGCTGCTTCTGCATATCGAGTGACTGCGGGTAGTGAAAGACCCGCATGGTAGCAGCACTAGAGGGTCGTCACTTAGAGTGTGCCATAAAATTTTCAGGCTTAGTGAATCAGTAGTAATAAAACGCTCGGTGTCCTGATTGTTGTGGCAGAAAAGCAGGGAGGCAAAACCTTCCTTTAGGGAGACTATGACAGGGAGTCAACACGTCTTTTCAGTTTGAATGCATCACGAAGACTGGTTTGTTTCTACATTATGGGCAGCACTGTCGTAGATAGGGAAAGAAAAAGAAAATAGAAAACAGAGAAGCACTACTACATTCAAGAGAACTCGTGCGAACCTTTGAGAAACAGAGGGAGAAAACGCTGTGCCCATGTTGGGTGTCGGCCCCTGCGGCTTTCAATTTGCTTCCTCAATTGGTCCTATAGTTCAAAAAAGCAAAGACGTCAAGGATGCTCTCCACTCTTCCCGTATGGTCTGCCACGTGGACCACTCGGTGCCTTTGAATAGCGAGCCATTGCGGTTGCACCCCGGAAACGCGTCCTCCCTAAGTTGCCCCTTTTCGCCGCGAGTATTTCATTCAACGTTCCTTCCTAGTGGTGGTTGCTTCCCATTTTGTGATAAATACAAGCTCTCTCTATGAGAGAACTCTTGAGCTCATTGTCCGTTGACTTCTAGAGGATAAAGCAGCTGTATTGGTCGTTTGAAATTGCCCCGCCGCAGTGGTCTAGTGGCTAAGGTACTTGATTGATATGTGGGGTTTAACGTCCCAAAACCACTATATGATTATGAGAGACGCCGTAGTGGAGGGCTCCGGAAATTTCTACCACCTGGGGTTCTTTAACGTGCACCCAAATCTGAGCACACGGGCCTACGACATTTCCGCCTCCATCGGAAATGCAGCCGCCGCAGCCGGGATTTGAACCCCCGCCCTGCGGGTCAGCAGCCGAGTACCTTAGCCACTAGACCACCGCGGCGGGGCGGCTAAGGTACTTGGTTGCTGACCCGCAGGTCGCGGGATCGAATCCGGGCTGCGGCGGCTGCATTTCCGATGGAGGCGGAAATGTTGTAGGCCTGTGTGCTCAGATTTGGGTGCACGTTAAAGAACCCCAGGTGGTCGAAATTTCCGGAGCCCTCCACTACGGCCTCTCTCATAATCATATTGTGGTTTTGGGATGTTAAACCCCACAAATCAGTCAATCAATCGTTTCAATTCGTTCCGTTAGTTTCAATCTGCACGCCCCCACCCTGTCGTTTTTGTCCTTGGAAGTTTCTTTGAAGTTTCTTTTTGGGGATCTTCCACATGTGTCATTTCTCATTATCTTCTTTTAAAAGCACCAAATTGTCTATTTTTTATGTCCCTCAATGTCGTTGAGCAAACATGTGGGCCGATCTAAGCTCCCATAAGTACTCTTTTCACCAGAGTCTCCAGAATCCTTCAATCATGGCCAACCGGTATCCCCAGCGTCATGAGAGATGCGCGTCACCACCCACGATTCCGGCTGGCAGATGTCCTACCAGCAAAATTTCTTTGGACCAAGCATAGCAAATCATCAGCGAGATCACATATAAAGCCGGCACTGTGTCTTGTTTATCACTTGCTGCTGGTCCGTTAGTTAGATTGTTCTGCGACGAATCTTCTGTCGGGTAGGCCTCTGCACCTGGCTTTATATGATCAAGGTGCCAAAGAACCGTTCTGCTTCTTGACTTGATTAACCAAGATCGATGTCCGAGTCTCTTTAACACGGTTCTGCCAACCCAAGCTGGACTTCCTGCAAAGTTGCGAAAAAGACTGGTTGCTCGATGGCTACCTTTCTTGGCGATTTCGTAGCGCTGTGGTCAGTGGTCACCCTCTCAGCTGGTTGAGGCTGAATGCGTGTCAGTGCCGTTGAGAGTTCGCGGCCGAACATGAGTGCAGCTGACGATTTGTCCGTCATTACTGAAACGGTGGTGTGCTGTTTCAGCTGGAAACGAGCCAGCCTGCATGCAAATGTTCCTGACTGATCCTTTGCAAGTGCCTGTTTCGTTTCATACACCATTTTTTCGGCTTGCCCATTCGTGGCTGAATGTTAGGGTGCACTTGTGATGTGTGTCACCCGATTCTTTTTCAGAAATTCTTCCATTTCCGCAAAAACAAACGACGGGCGTTATTCGTGACCACCCTTTCGGAAATGCCGAAAGTTGCGAACAGGTTTTGCAGTTCCTTGATCACTGTCGGCGACCGTATATTCTGCATGATGCGCACTTCGAGCCACTTGTTGTATGCTTCGACTACATTTAGCAGCATCCTTCCCTCCACAGCCCCAGCGAAGTCAGCGTGGATGGTGTGCCATGGTGTTGTTGTACATTTCCACTCGAGGGCTGGTGTTTTAGTTGGCATTTTCTGGTGCTGGCAGCAAGTTGCACAACTTTTGACTACCTGCTCTATGTTGTTGTCGACACCGGGCCACCAAAAATAGCCTTGAGCACACGCCTTCATAGCCACCACGTCCCTGTGACTCGCGTGTGCCAAGTTGAGCACGTCTTTCCTTGCTTTCTCTGGAACGACCAGTCTGGCACCCTGGATGACGCAACCCTCCTATAGCGAGAGCTCGTGTTCAAGCTTTGCAAGTGTCGAAAATTCCTGCTTGGGCAACCGGTGTAGTTCTTCGTTTGAAATGCCTGTCATTACGCGGGATAACGGTGGGTCACTCCAGGTGAGCTGAGCCAGTTGACCCGGTGACAGCTTGAAAGGCGGTGCAGATGCAAGTATAAGCACATCTCCCGGAGAGGCTTGACTCATCTACCTGCGCAGGCACTGGCAGCCTGCTGAGCACGTCAGCATTTTGGTGCAGACGTCCAGGCCTGTACGCCAACTCGTAGTCATATGTGGATAATTTGAGACACCATCGACTCATCCTTGGTGACAATATCAGGCATTTGCTTTTTTTCCCCCATGATGCCTAGGAGTGGTTGGTGCACCGTTAATACGGTCACATACCGGCCAGCGACATATTGCCGAAAGTGGCTGACGGCATAAACTACCACAAGACCTTCTTTAACGAGGTGCGAGAAGTTTTTCTCAGCGGTTTCCAAAGTTCGTGACGCGAATGAAATGGGAGTGTCTCGGCCGAACGCATCCTTTTAAGCGAGAATCGCGCCAATGCCGTATGGTGACGCATCTTCAGACAGAAAGAGAGGCCTCTTTTCATCATAATGTGCAAGGACTGTCGAAGACCTAATCACCTTCTTAAGCATCTTGAAAGCAGACTGGTGTTTTTTCTCCCGATTCCAGGGCGTGTTCTTCCTGAGAAGCCCATACAACTCTGCAGCTACCGTCGCTCTGTTTTAAAAAAAACGATTGTAAAAGGCGAGAAGCCCCAAGAAAGCCTGCAGAGAGGTCTTGTCCGTCGGTTTTGGTGCCTCAAGGATTGTCTTTACCTTCTCTTCAGTCGTATGGACACCCTGAGCGTCGATTTCATGACCGAGAAACTGGACTGAGCTGATACCGAAGCGGCACTTCTTTTGTTTGAGCCGCACACCTTTGTGGCTTAGTCTCGTCAGGACTTCCTCTAGACGTTGTGCATGCTCTTTAACTTCCTTCTCGCTGACAATAATGTTGTCAAGCTAGACACTCATCCCCTGAATTCCGGCCAGTGTAGTCTCCATCATCCACTGGAAGATGGCTGGCGCCGCGGATACTCCAAAAGGGAGACGGTTCACCTTGAACAGTCCTTTGATGGTGTTTACGGTGAGCAGTGCGGCTGTCCCGTCGTCCACTCTTAGCTGCTGATAGGCCTGGTAAAGGTCTAGCGTGGAAAACGTCGTCCCATCAGGCAACTTTGCGGACACCTGCACAGTTGTCGGTAGCAGGTGCGCCGTCTTCTTGACCACTGCGTTAACTGTGCTCCTGTAATCTCCACAAACGCGAAATGTTCTATCTTTTTTGTGCGCCCACACCAACGGTGTGGCCATTTTGGCATGTTGCGTCGGCTCCAGGATATCTTGTTTTTGCAGGCAGTCGAGCTCTTCCTCCATAGGCTCTTGGTAAGCTAGGGGCACCGGCCGTGCTTTGCAAAACTTGGGTGTGGCACCTTCTTCCATGTCAAAATGAACCAGTGGACCCTCGTAGCCGTTGATACCTTCCTTAAATACATCAGGATGGCATGCGAGAACACCCTGGATCTCTTGACGTGATTCGGCGACCTGGTATACTACATGGACACGGATGTTCAGTGTTGAAAACCAGTCACATCTGAGCAGGTTGCACCCAGTCCCTTTCATTACCAGCAGGGGCAGCCCGTAGTGCTTTGATTTGAAATGCACATTAACTTGTGCCGAACCAAGGGTGCCAAGTTCTTTCTCTGACCAGGTGCGTAAGTCTAGGGGCTCTCTCGAAAGCTTAGGGGCGTACGATGGCCAGATTTGGTGATAGGTAGCCTCACTGATGAGAGAACATGCGGCGCCCGTGTCCACTTCGAATTTCAAGGGCCTTCCCTCGATTTTTACGTCAACGAGGAATTTAGGGCAGGGTTCTCGCACCCTCACGTAGGTTATAGCACCTATCAGTGTCCGCGGGGTCGTAGCACGCAGGTTGGGCGTAAACCAGGCGAGCTCCTTGCCGGGCGTTGAGATTTTCTCCATTAATTTTCTTCATTTTGGAGATGCAGGCATTGTCAATGTGTCCTTTTTTGGCACAAAAACGGCATTGCGTTGTCCTTAACTTGCAGGCGTGAGCCTCGTGCCAGCCGTCGCATCGGCAGCAGCATTGTTGCTGAGCCGAATGTTTGGTATTCTTTTTACACTGCGAAGTCTTTTGCACTACCGTGGAGCTCGTTGCTCCCTTAAGGCCTCGTTGCTGCATGGACGCACTTTCGGACGACAGTGCCAAGTCCAACGCGCGTTGAAAATTCAAGTCTTTCTCCGCAAACAGTCGCTGTTGGAGATGCTTGTCGCGGATGCCGCACATGAACTTGTCGTGAAGCGTCACATCTTGGGGCAGCATGGTGGGTTTCGCCAAAACGGCTGCATGTCCTTCTGCTGGTGGCGTCGATGTAGCAGACGTCGCTGGCACTCCGAAGTTACTGTCAGCTGACAAGCTTCTGAGGGCTGCAACGTAGTTGCTGATCGACTCTTTTGGCCGGCCGCCGGTCACGGCGCTGCAACACGTTCTGGCTGTACAACTCAGAAGTTCGTGGATCGAAGTGTTTCTGCAGAAGGGAAACTGTGTCGGCATAGCCCACCTCTCCAGGAGTGTTCAGCGCGACCAAGGCGCAGGCAGTTTCAAAATTGTCGGCTCCGCATAGCGTCAGAAAGAGCGCGCGCTTTTTTTGTTCGTCGCAGACGTCGTTTGCCACGAAGTAGAAGGTCAGGCGCTGGATCCACGATGACCAGTTCTTGCCGCTAAAAAGCTCGATGGCTGCCTGCATTCCTCCAGTAGCCATGGTCGTAACCTAGAGAGCTGCGCACTTTATAAATTCCGCTTCTCGTCGCCAGTGTTATGTTAGTGTTTGGAACCCCGCGGCGCAGGAACCACATGAGACAGCGGCTGGCAGGAGACTATTCATTGCTTTCCTTTAGAAGTGGATGAGAGGAGGTTATGGCGAGGTTAGAGTCTTTCCAGCGAGTGTGCACGTTTAACACGATATTCAGGAGCTGGGGACGAGAGTCCAAAGAAGGTGCCAGGCATGCGGGCGCGTTGGGCCACACCCGCAAGCGAGGCACAACACAGGAGTGGCCGTGTGTGGCTTACGTGCGCGGAACAATTGTCCGAAAGCAGACAAACCTTTCGTTCTCGCCTGCCTAGATTCCAGTCAAATTCCTGGACCTAGTCTCTGAAAATTTCATGTGTCTTCCACGCGAGGCTGTTTGCCATGTACCTCACTAGAAGGTGCCGATTTTCCTTGAAGCAGCGTGGTTTTGCACTTTTGCTGATGATCAACAGCAGTCGTTTATAAAAGTATTTTGTGTAAGCATCTTGTAAACAAACCAATTTCATCGGCATTGTAAATATCCGATGGTGTGTAGTCCTTCAGGAGACTTCCTAGGCTGGCCGACATCGACGTAGTGGCGCCGTCTTTATCCACCGAAGTGGCCTCACTACACAACACTTTGCCGATGATATTGTGGCGGGACTTGAATCGGTTCAGCCAGCCAATGCTGGCTTGAAATTCCCTATGCCGAGCACAGTAGCGAAATTTACTGCTTTGTGCCGCACAGTATAACCCCTAAGGGCTATTTTTTTGGCCCGCGTCTCCACAAACCAGGCGTAGACTGCCTTGTTGAACGCTTCAGGCACTGACTGAGTCAACTTCTTATGCTTTGCCGACATCCCTGCAGCTAGAACTTTGTTTATAGCGACCTTGCTCTTGTTGACAGAGAGCTCGCCACAGTCCCAAACTCTTCAGCGATGAGCGCCTTTTTCTTGCCGGCTTCAGCACATGCAATAAAGTAGGCCCTGTCTTCATGAGACAAACACCACATGACTGTTCGCATTACGGCAGCTTCAGGAAACAATGCATGCAAGTTGTGAACATGTGACTCTAGCCCTAGTCAAGCAGCAAACCGTCACCCCAAACGCCTCGCCACACCCATCTGGGATTTGCCTTGGAATTCTAATTTTGTCCGTACATTATTCAGTAATTCTTGGCAATAAAAAGATTCTCATAAGTTTCGTAAAAAACAATTAGAAATACTTTAAAAATCAAATAATGTGTTGCTACGCAGCCCCAATTTAAAACGTTTTCTCTTAAGAAAAGTTGGTTGTATACCCAATGGTCGTGGTGCCAATAAAAAGATAATCTTGCCGTAATAAAACAGCATGATTTCATCAAAAAAATAATTTACAGTCTACGCAGTACTTCGATGGGCTAACAAAAGGTAGGTCAATTTCAGGAAAGATAGAAAAGTAGCCATTCTTGATGTCTCTGCTTGTTCCGATAATTTTGCGTGTTGTGCCCACGAGACTGAATAGCAGGAAATCGCGATTTGTATGTGAATAAAAAATTTCTTCAATGCAGGAAAATTCGACTAGCATTGCCAGTTGAAAGCTACCATTCTACCAAGGGTGCATTTTCTGAAGTTTGCAACCGCGCCTACAGCCACTGATCCTATATACTACAAATGTACTTCCCTTTGCCACAAATAGAAGTAAAGAGGAAGCACTTCTCTTCGATTTATGAAATTTGGAGGAAATTATATATTTCAAAGAATGCCCCCAAAATGCCACATTGTTATAGATGAGTACATTTTGGGACACTGCAGCTACCTCTGTGAACATGTCAAGTCTTTCATATTTGCACTGTGAATAGATCTTCATGTGAACAAACAACCTGTGCATTTAAATTTATATATTAGTTTTTAAAGTAATAAATTCTTATGATCTAATCATTCAAAAGATCAAATTGTTCCTCAATTCATAATGCAATAAAAAAGCAGCTATCAGTGTTAAAAATCCCACAAAATTTCCTCAGAGAAATGCAAAATGATAATATTAAAAGACATGTTGCATAATTTTTGTTGGAACAACAAATAAAAGAGGTCAAACATCGTGTTTTCAGAGTTTGATCGCCAGTGCATATAACTCATCTATTGCGACAAGATAACAATATAAAATGTATTTTTTTCTCATCTAGGTTTGTCTAGATGAGAAAAACAAAAGTCATCTAGGTTTATCTAGATGACTTTGTCATCTAGACAAATCTAGATCTTTTGTCATCTAGGTTTGTCTAGATGACAAAACAGTTGAGAAAAAGAATGTATTTTTTTCTCAACTGTTTCGTCAAGCAAACGATCGTTTTAAGTAAATGTATTTGCAGAGTTTATGCTTCCACTACAATATTTCACATCCCTCGATCATCGACTCAACAACTTCTTCCATCGTATTCGCACTACGAGACTGCACGTAATATGTAAAATAGTTCCCGCCTGAGAAGCGAACTGAGCCCATGTTTTCTTCTTTTTTTTTTGTCACCTTTTGAAACCTGTACTCAGCTGGAATGAGTTTAAGCTCATATAATACCGCACGTTTCACAATCTACTCAAACTCAAACTACACAGTAGATATCGAACCCACTCAGACAGCACCGGCAGTATCAAGTGCCCTCTGTTTTCTTCCGACACTTGGAAGGATGAAAACAATTTCTCTACCTGGAATATGAGTCGCACGGCTGTCTGTATATCTTCAACACTTTAGCACATTGTGCAATTCAGCTAATGCCAACATGGCGGCGATCATCTCTTCCCAACATCAAAGGCGGCCTACTCTATTGCTCAATCTTTGCTCTGCGTAAATTGTCACGTTCACACTCGAGCTGTAGGCGTAAGGCCAGCTTGCAAATGCTTAGCGTAAGGCCATGCTTACCTTAAGGCCAGCTTGCGAATGAAGTTCAAGATTCTGTGAACAGGTGCACATCAAATGATTGAGAAAAAAAAATAAATCACCTTGAACACGTGAAACTTACAGCCCGTTAAACTCTCACAGAGATCTCCGTAATAAAAAAGTGAAGTAATGACTGCTACAGTAGGACAGCTGCATCGTAGGGCCATTTCTTGTTCATTATTCATAATACTAACGCTACATGTCCGTAAATAACAAATTTGTTTGCATTAGATTCAACTTGAGGCATACGTAATAAGCAGATTTATATTCTGCAGGTACAAGGTCATTCAAAGTTTCCCAGGCCACTATTTCAACTAACCCTGTGGTCGCGTGACCTGGGAACTTTTGACTGCACATGCTAAAAAATTTACGAAGTGAAGTCAAATGTTCAAAAACCAACAAGGACAAGTTCCTTCTTCACTGAAATAAAATTTTGTTTTTCTATCATCATAAAACAAAATACAGCACAGACATTCTACAAACTGTGTACACAAAAATTGTAAAAAAATTTATTTTATTTTGGCGGCTTTGTATCTGAATTTAACCTAATAAGATAGATCGTAACTTCCCGATGCCTAAAGCACCTGTGTTGTTTTCCTATTGTAACAGTATTGTGCAGACTTCTTTTCTGTAAAAGAGGAAAAACGTTTTGTAAGCACTATCATGACCGGTAAGCAGAAAGCAAAAAATAGTGCGAGCACTAATAAATAATTTGTTTCAAGACTCTTAACAACCCTTGTTTGAGGCACTGGGTTGCAGCACAAAAATAAATGATTGCGCATAAATAATAACACATATACAGAATGAAAGGGCTGAAAGCACACACTGCTTCATAAACAAACCAAAATGTTGGCCCGCAGTATTAGTAGAGGCAAAAAAAGCAAAGGAGTAATTCAACATATTACACAATACACCGATTAGGGTCATGCCATGCCAAATCGCCCAGTATTCTTTCAACCATCTCAGATATGGCAGAAAAAAAATTCACATGTTTCTAGAAGTGCGAAACTCATTCTACTCATTTAAATCCGTAGCCAAAAATTTTCCTCCCTATTTATGACAGTCTGTAGTATGGCACCAAGTAAGGTAAAAGTCGTCAAACAACTTCTTCAAAAGACTTTTAGGAATGCACTCAATAAATGGCATTTCTGGCAAGGTAATGAAGTGATGTAACTAAATATAATGACTTACTTATTCATATAAATTCAAGAGCTTTTGCCACGAGCAATATTAAATAATGTTGCCAAGTTTGGGATTTTTTTCTGGGAACATGGCAAATTCTAAGGACACAAATATGTACTGGTGATCAGTTTGACATGCAACAAATTAAAAAAATAAGCGCTGAAGTTTAGCAGATAGACAGCAAAAATTTTGAATTTCGCTTTTTTTTTGAGAAAAGCTCAGTATTCAGCATCGAAATGCTTGCCCGTGTGGTCGGACAAAAAGTATGCACATTTCATTTTAAAGCTCTCTGTACTAGCTAAATATAGGGAAAGTAACTGAAGAGTATTATACTTCAACATTGAGAAATATATATATATTCTTAAATTGCATATGTCCACCAGCTTTACGCCTAATTCACTCAAGCGGCATGAAGCACTCGCAAGGGCAATTTTCAGCAGAAT